TACTATAGGGCTTTAGGGTTTAGGGGCCTAGATAATCAATATTCGGGGTTCCTTATTACAGTTATAGTACAATGGGCCCCAAAATCCTAATTTAATTGTTATGAAGGAATGTATGGCTTCGACAGATACTCTCGACAACTAGTGCTGTCTTGGGCGCTCGAACACGCACAAGTCCTCCGGCGAGGTCGAGCGCGCATCGCAACAGGCCAGGGGGTACACCTGAACCGGCCTGGAATGAGCTCATTCAGACAGCTACGAGCCCTTGCAATCATGACAACGACATTTCTGGCCGCCATGACTGTCATCTTCACTGCCAGCGTCATTAGCGCTTTCATCATGGTCACCATCTGCATGATCAACAGAAGCTTCTCATCATTCCAATCAGCAACACCCTCATCAATTTACACAGCTCGGCGGCAGCCAGCCAGACTGGTGCTGGAAAGCATCACGGAACTCAGCATGCTCGCAATCACTTGCACGGCGCCTTCGTTTCTACCCTGTCACCGGCATCGTCATCTCACGTGTTACACAACCAGGGTTATACCAGTCGTGGTCTGTGCCGTCAGGCACTGGCCGATAGTAGCACAATAAGACCAAGACCAAGAGCATCATCATCGTCGTCATCATCATCAGCACCATCCTTATCTTTATCTTCATCTTCATCACTTTCATCACCACCACCACCATCCCAATCATTATATTGTTCTGCAGCATACCACCATCGCCGGTATGGTACTCGCAACCGTCGTCGGCACCAGCAACATCAGCATAACTTTGTCCAACAAACTGGCGTCAGTATCGCCAGTGGCAGCATGAGGGCCGAGGCACTTGTCGCGGATGTTCCGCCAAAGGTTGATGATGGCCCAACCTCGAAAAACGTTCGTTGTTTTGCATGTGAGAAATATCGCCCCTACGCAATCTTTAACTTTATAGTGGTGCACTACTTTGTCATTGCTACGCCCAGGCCCTCGGGTTTTCTCAGCACTCCGCGATCGTGCAACCTTGCGCTTTGGGCGTGTGCAGCGGGTCCAGAAAAAAGGAACTGCAACAGAAGCCTTACACCGTCAATGGCTTAGTTTGTATTGAATGCTTGTGCTCACGTTTGACTCCTGACGCGCCCGTCGGCAAACAAAGGCTTAGCGTTAAGGGGCCCAAGCTAACTCTGAATGCAAAGGCCCTCAACACAACAAACAGAAGGGTCCCATGCTTCTGCGAGTGGCTTGCAAGCATCTTTCTCTAGGTCCTAAATATTGCTTTGGGGCTTCTCCTGTTTCTGCCTGCTCACAAGGTGAATATACAAGTATATACATAAATGTATGCATATGTATGTATGTATGTATGTATGTATGTATGTATGTATGTATGTATGTATGTATGTATGTATGTGTATGTATATATATATATATGTATCAATATGTTGGAATTAAATGGTTTCTACATAGAACCGACATTGCCCCTGAAAGGTTTGAACCTCTGAGCCCCTAACAGGCTACAGCGAATGCCAGCAGAAAGTTGGAACATAGGTTTAAGAAGGTTAGTGCTGGATCCCATTCTTCTTTCCCTTGAGGGCATGAGCATAATGATGTTCCAACTTTCTGGCTTCTACCCTAGAGTGCCTAGGCTAAGCGACTATCGGATGTTGCGTGTAAGCCTTAATGAGAGCTCTGAAGCCTTGAAAGAAAGCTCCTCCGACTTGATCCTCTAAACCCTAGGTCAGGACGTCTGAATAGTAAAACCCCCCTAAACCCTAAACCCTAAACCCTGAATCCCTGCTTCAGGGCTTTTCTCAAGGGGTTCCTTCGAGTTTTCTACAGGGTTCTGTCCGGATTTTGATCGGATTTACTTGGTTTCCTGCAACGATATAGTACAAGCAGTACTTGTGTTCCCTCAGGCCAAGTTTGTATTTCCTATGTATCTATCGATCGATCTGCCTATGTATCTAGCTATCGATTTATCTGTCTATGTATCTATCAAAGATCCTTTCGATGTATGTATGTATGTATGCATGTCTGTATGTATGTATGTATGTATGTATGTATGTATGTATGTAAACCATAGTTAAACATACAAAAGTATATACATGTGTGTATACATATATACACACACATGTGGGTCCTAAGGGCTAACGGCTCCATACTGGCCACAACCCTGAACGCAAAACCCTCTACACTCGTAGCGCACCCCGTGGATGCTCCATATCAAACGAGTTGCGGTTGCCTGAAGCCTTTATAAGTCCCCTTAACCGCAACCCCGAGTTTGATATGCCGAGTCTACGTGAGGCGTGCAAGGCCTAAGGGAATGGAAATCCTCGACATTTCTGCCAAGAGTCGGCCTGTTCGGCCAGCCTCAGTCGCCGGTTGAGGTCTACTAAGTAACACGGTTGCTAAGTAAAGGTACCACGTGGGATACTGCAAGGGTTCTATATGGTTGCTGCACGGGTTGCTATAGGTTTTTGAATTTGGGGTTTGCAGTCGTGGGTTTGTAGCTGTTTTCTTTTGGGTCGAGTTTGGATCTTTCGGTTAAGTTGTTTGGCTCTGGGATTTATGCATTGGCCTCGTTATCCCGCGGAAGGCGCTTCAAATAGTGAATTATTCGGAGAGGTTGAGTTCGGCACCTCAGGTTTCAGGGTGTTTACGTTTTCAGACGCTAGGGCTGATCTCCGGTTTTCGAAAGCCGGCTGGGCCAGGGTCTATCGCGCTTATAGGGTTTTAGGAGTTGTCGCTGAAGTTCACACGTCTCCGGAATGGCCGATACATTCTGCAGTGCCGTCGAAGCCAGTTCCCACTGCGAAGGTTGCGTTTCTGTACTGGCGCGAGACATCACCCCTTGTATCTCTTATAAGCATAAGCTGTCTGGCGCTTACTCAGTAGGGAATGGGGGAATGGGTTATCGGGAGTACTATAAGGGACCTTAAGGGACTATCATAGGGATTCGTTCCGGGTCCCCCATTCCCTACGAAGCACCAGGCAGTAAATTGAATCCTCAATGCATCAGACCCGTAGCTCCACGACCCAAAGTTTGGATTTTGGGCGTCGAGGTCAAGCGCCAGGAAGTTCAGCCGGGTTCTGGGTTCGCCGGTTTGGGTCGAGCCCACCGGATAGAAGTGGCGGTACGACTGACAGAGGATTGGGATGTAATGGGGTTCATATAGGGGCCTTAATAATTGGAATAGGGTTCTGGGGTATATTACACTATAACTACAATGAGGACCCCCCAAGATAGTATTGGTATCCTTTAGGCCCCTATGTTAGTGTTCACGGTATCGGGTTGACGGCTGCTGGGGAGATTGGTCGCAGTCTGGCGCATCGGGAGTCTGTGCATTGTTCGGCCGGCATTCTCGTGCTTGTGCAGATTCAAAAGATCAAGCGTGTGATCCAACTGCTACTGAGCCCCTAAACCCTAAACCCTAAATTCTAAACCTTAACCCCTAAATCCTAAACCCTAAGCCCTAACCTTAAACCCTAACATCATGGAGCCTATACTGCTCAGGGCTCAGCCAGGGTTTGGGGAGAATGCCAGAGGACCGTCAAACCTGGTCCCTCCTCCCTGTTTCCTTGAAGCCCAGTACCCTGGCCAAAAAAAGCTTAAGCTTTTCTCTTAGTAAGGGGTTTAATATACCAAAAAGTTGTTTACCTACTGGGCTCCTAAGGTTTTTTGCCATCCAAGTGACTTTGACGATGGCCTGAAGCATAGAGTCGGTTCAAAGCATACAGGCTTTGGGGATACTATAGGGGATACTAAATAATGAGAATGGGGTTGAGGCCCATTATACTACAGTTATAATAACGAACGGTCAGGAGTCCCGAACCCTCGCTGCTCACCTTGCAAACCTCAGATTTCGGGAGTTAGGGTTGAGGGTTTTGGGTTTTGGGCCCAAGGACATGTGCGAAATCTTAAGTTCAGGATGGTAACAGCAAGAAGTCCATGTGCGAGAGATTCTGGGAGGGTTGTCTGGTAGATGCGCCCTGAAGCCCTCGTACCTAAATTCTCATCTTGACTTATCAACACCAAGCTGCAGGGTTCAGGGTTGTGTAGCTTTACTTGTTTTGGCTCAGCTTTTCATATTGGTTTGGGGAGTACCTGGTGGCCCTGACCCATGTACTCCGAGCTCAGATTCTATTAGCCGCTCTACTTGCAAGTCAAGCTGCATCATAGGTCATAGACTCCACACTCCAAATCTTCAACGCTAAACCATCATAGAGCCCCCAAGAACCTCTCAGTGCCTTCTTGAAGCCTTACAGTAAGCCCCTCAACGCTTCTAGAACCACCACGAACCCTATACAGCCTCTATGAAACCCTGAAGAGCTTCTCCCCTCAAAGGACAAGCTAGGACCGATCACCAAGAGCCCGGTAACGAAAAACCAGACATAAACCCCAAGGACATACAGAAAGAACCCGCATGAACCCCGGAAAGCCTCTACCACAAAACCGATGAAGCCTGTAGGAAGCCCTTTCCTAAAACGATTAAGCCCTTGAAAAACCCTCATGGACCCTAAACCCTAAATAAACCCCCGTGACATCGCATTAAAACCTTACAAAACCCTCTAAACACCCTACCAAACACCCTTCGAAGCCCTAGAAAACACTAGAAAAGGTCTTGAAAACCCAACCCTAAACCCTACCTTAACCCCACATAACCTACTTACTCCAAGGACTTATCTGGAGAAACCCTCAAACCCTAAACCCTAAACCCTACCCTCATAAGGAGCCCTGGAAAGGTAGGTTCCTTTAGGGTTCAGGTTAGGGTTTAGGGTTTAAGGTTTAGGGTTTAGGGTTTAGGTAAACCCTAGTCCCGATCTGCTGCCTCGTTCAGGGCAGGCTCCGTCTTCTGGATCGAATCATTCCTTGGACATCGGTTTGGTAGGAGTTTTAGGGTCTAGGGTTTAAGGTTAAGGGTTTTTGTTTTGTGTAAGGGTTTGGAGATCGGTGTGGCAGGAGTTTTAGGGTTTAGGGTTTAAGGTGACTTGGAGAGAATCATTCCTTGGAGATCGGTGGATTGTAAGGGTGGTTGAGGGCTTAGGGCTTCAAGGTTCAGGGCTTAGGGCTTAATGCTTAGGGCTTAGGGGTAAGGGTTTTATGAGGGTTCCAGGGCTTGTAGGGCTTTCTAACGGTTCTTTTAGGGCATGAGGGTTCCAGGGTGGCAAGAGTTTTCTGTTTGTATGGGTTGCATAAGGCATAAGGGTTCTAGGGATTTCCAAGGGTTTAGCCTATATGTAGCAGGACCCGCAGCGAAGGACGCTAAAACAGGGACGCCAAGAGCCCGCCCCCCCACTCTGTTGTTGCACCTGACCCCATAGCCGAACAAACAAGGTCAGCAGAAACACAGCCAAACAATCTACTGGCCAACCCACTTCACAAAACAAACAAAATTTAAACAGCTAAAGCCTCAACACCTGAATTCTGTAATAAGCTTAGATTCCCTAAACTCTGAGACATGAATGCACTTCTAAAAAAAGGTGGGGCACAGGGGTTTAGGATTTAGAGCTTACGGGGTTGGTAATGTAGGGGCCTAACTAATTAGAATAGGGTTTTTTGGGGGTATATTATACTATAAGTACAATAAGGAGCACCCAAAACAGTACAGGTAATTATTAAGGCTCCTATATAGGTAATTATTAAGGCTCCTATATTATACGAACCCGGAGGCCTGACATCAAGACCAAATCAGCAGAGATTCTTCTTCGGGGGCTGCCCGAGTTGGTCGAAGCGCAATGGGCCGCCTGAGCATTGGTTGGGCTTTGTGATTGTAGGGCGTTAGGATGTGTATAGGGCTAAAGTTTACAATTTAGGTTTGGACGGCTTAAGCAATTCGAGATTTAGGGCTTTAGGCTTTTACCTCAACCCCACCCAAAGACCGCCCACCCCGACATCACCCAAACCAAACATGATGTTTGAAGACTTCCGATGTGTTTGGTTGATATGCCAAGTGGTTCTGCTGTTAGGAACATTATGCTGAGACCATGTTGAGATTCGACATCGACACGATGCCTTATTTGATAGCGGGACCAGTCGCTTCAGCAGTCACTAAGCACGCATAGATACCGCGGAATCTGAATCCTAAGACTAAAACCCTCAACTATCACCAAGGCCTCGCCCCGAGACACTATCTCACGAAGCGCTGACAAAAGGCCGGTCAGAGTGTAGTCGTTGTGAACCATACCTGGCGCAGTAGCAACGGTTTAGGGTTTAGGGTTTACCTGCACCCTAACTCAAGAGCCCACCTTGTCAAGGACATCGACGTATAATATACGAAAATCATACTAATAATAATACTAATAATAACAATGATAATAATGATAATAATAATAATAATCATAATAATAATAATAACAAAAAATAATAATAATAATAAGGAGCCCTCAACAAGTAAACAACTAGGTTCTATAGGGCCCAGGCAGGTAATTAAGGGTTTAACTTCGGAGCCGAGGTCGCCCCACCTGCTGAGCATACCCATAGGCCTCATTGTAGTGCCGTTTTAGGATTACCTTCTAGGGTTTAGGGTTTGGGGTTTAGGGTTTAGGGTTCCGTTTTAGGATTACCTTCTAGGATTCTAGATATGAATCCCCCAAAAGGAACTACTATGGGGCCTATGGGTAAACCCTAAACCCTACACCCCAAAAAGGAACTGCTATTCAGCCTATGGGTATGGTCACGACACAAACAAACACAGGCTGTAGCGTAGGGGCCTTAATTAGAACGGGGCTTCGGGGTTCCTTTAGAGGGTTCCTTACAGGGTTCTATAAGGTATACTATAAGGTTTTAGGGTATAGGGGCCACATTAATCAGAATAGGGTTTTGGGGACCACTATACTATAATCATAGTAAGGAACCCCCAAAATAGTATGGGTAATTATTTAGGCCACTACATTAACCATATGGAAAACCGAAGAGTCCAGGTGGTCCCGGGTTGAAACAGCCTCCTGTCTTCTCGCAGCTATTTACTGCAGCCAAACCGTCGTACCCATGCTGGTTTGGGGTTTAGGGTTTAGGGTTTAGGCTTTATACCATGCTATGGCGGGTCTCGGGCCATACCGCGTGATAGCCATGCTCACACAGGATGCCTCGTAATGCATGGCCTTGTACTTGCCTGACCCACGCTCCCAAATTCCGTATCTTAAACCTGAGTTCCTAATTAGTCGGTCCTTCGGACCCGGAACAGTTGGAGTAATGAGCCCATCTACAATCCTCAGGGCAAAGTGAACACATAAGGTGCCTCAATGAACGCCTCCCACCTTCGGGTTTATAGGGTTTAGGGTTTAGGGCTTTAGGGTTTTAGGGTTTAGGGTTTAGGGTTTAGGGTTTTAGGGTTTAGGGTCAGCCTCAAGAGCGAAACCCCAAAAGGCAACGCCACCCGGGGAACCCACGAACCTTGGGAGTCTCCGGGGGCCCAAAGAACCAACTTTCCATCGCTCTGAAACCCTAAAGTCTGCTTTAGGGTTTAGGGCTTCGGGTTTAGGGTTTAGGGTTTAGGGTTTCGGGTTTAGGATACTGGAATCTCGTATAGTTCCTGCTTGGGGCTCTGAGTTTATCGTGGGCACCGAAGCAAAATCTGGAATGCCAAGACTATGCCTAACTGCAGGCCTGCCGGTTGTTGGCATTTTGCTCCACCCTGCAGGAACAAGAACGAGATTGCTCCACATGCGAAGCATACTTTGAAGGGCTTGCGCTAAAGTGGATCAAACCCTGTAGGCCCTATACCGACCCCAGCAGAAGGGCAGTCTGTCCGAGCCCCAAACTCTTTCCAAAGGCTCCGTTCCTAGAAACAGCCTTACTGGGAACAACCCCCAGTTCACCACAGCCCCCGCGACTTGAGGCGAGTGGATGCTTGCCTGTTTCCAACTTACACCCTGCATTCTGCAAAAAACAAAGTGGGACGGGCCACCCCACAACCCGAATCACTTGAAGCCCTAAACGCCCTGAAGACCCTGAGCAACTTCAACGTGGCACTGACTTTACGGCGGCCTGAAATTAATTAAATTACACAAATATTCCAGAACCTGCGACTAACCGTAATTACCCAAGCCCTTGGGCAAAGTATAGAAATCCCGAGACCCTAGACAAAATCACGAAAAAAAACCGTGATAAAGCTCTGTCAGACCCTTACGAAGGCATTGCAAGACCCCAAAGGGCCCATATCCGAATCTCAACCTCTCAAGAGCCTCAAAAGAAACCCTGCAGAGCCCTTCATGGAACTTATAGAACTGCAACGAGGACCTTTATAAACACTTATTAGAACCCTATCAGACCCTTCATAGAAGCCAGAATCGACAGAAGCGTTATATTTTGGCAGAGCAGCCTTTCTAGAAGCCCTTTAATCTACAACTCCTATGCGACCGCCAATAGAAACTGGCGAAACCCTTGCAGAAGCTTTCGTAGCCGTACAGAATCGAACAGAAACCTTTTTGGTCGAGGGCTCTGTGAGGGCTCTGATCAGGGGTTTGGGGCTGACGCTTCGATAGGTGATAGAACCCTCAACCCTAAACCCCAAAGCCTTTATAGTATACTTGATAGAACTCCTAAACCCTAAACCCTAAACCCTAACCCAAACCGAATGGCCTTGATCTCCTTTTGGGAGCCCTGGAGGCCCACCGACCGCAAATTGTGGTCAAAGGGAACGACGTAAGTGGCGCCTGGTTCTACAAAGGTTCCGGTTTAGGGTTTAGGGTTTCGGGCTTAGGGTTTATGGATGATCACGGGGGTTCAGGCTCTAACTTGGGGGTTTAGGGTTTGGGCCAGTTTGGGCTTAGCGCTTTGATGGTTCAGGCTTTTTTGGGGCCCCCTTTCAGGGTTCTACAAGCAATAAGGTGTCTGTGAGGTTGTAACATCGGAAGCCGCTCTTCCACACGCCTCTCCAAAATTCAGATCCAACGACGAAGACCAACAGCCAACTAAAAGCCTCCAATCCTAGGTCCAAGAAGCTCCTACCGAAACCATAAACCCCCTTACCCTAAACCCCCTAAACCCTGAACTCTGAACCCCAACATCTCGGTGATAAGGTTCTTCAGAGTTACTTTTAAGGGTTGCTTAAGGATTCCTCTAAGGGCGCAGTGCTAAGCATAATCATACTCGCAATGTTCATCGTCGTCTTGGATGAAATCAAAAAGCCTGCAGGAATTGTTCGTTTTGGCAACAAACAACACTTTGCAAAGGGTGGATTGTTCAGAGAGGTGCAGCCTAAATCCTACATGAAGCGGTTTTCACAAAGTTCACTCTGGGTCCTCAGCCATATCAAGGCCCTGGGCTCTATAAGCACTATAGACCTCAAACCCTGAACCGCAGGCCTAAACCAAAACGCTTGAAGAAACCTTATAGAACTAGCATAATTATACCCTGACAGAGCCCGAAACGGCCCAAATTCATCCGAACGACCTGCAAACCGCCCGAAGCCGCGGGCCTGTTAGGCGCTTCATAACCTCCGCCACCTCTCCGTGGTACTTCTTGAGAATGACATCCTCTTAGGGCCCGAAACTTTTGAAACCCCAAATCCTAAATCCCTGTTCGGGTGTATTAAAACCCTAAACCCCTCTTCGGTCGTACTTAAACCCTAAACCCTAAACCACTGTTCGGTGTACCTAAACCCTAATAACCTATAGGGTTTCGGGCTTGGGTTGACATCGTGTTGGGCCTTGCGACGGGCACTTAAAGGGCTGGGGATCTTCCAGGCCTGCATCGGACATTTGTTTTAGGGTTTAGGGTTTAGGGTTTAGGGTTTAGGGTTTAGAATTAATGTCGGCACCTTAATAAGTAGAAAAGGACTTTGAGGTTCCTTGAAAGGGTTCTTAAAGGGTTCTATAAGGGCTACCATAAGGGTTTAGGGTATAGGGGCCTTAGTAATTAGAATAGGGTTTTGGGGTATATTATACTATACATTATGATAAGGAACCTCCAAAATAGTATTGGTAATTGTTTAAGCCCCTATATTAATTGCAAACCGTAAACCCTCAACGGACAAACCCTGAACCCGGAATGGGTAGCTCATCTTCACAAAACCCACAAAGCCCGAAATCCAAATACCCTGCACGTGACTGCTGCTACTTTGCCATGCAAATTTTCTGGCCCCGATGTTGACCCTAAACCCTAAACCCTAACCCCTAAACTTGAGCCCGAGCCCCACAGACTTGGACGTCCCTAGGCACAGAGCCGCGAGTCCTCTTGGAAGAACTCGTCGTAAGACATGGCCGTCGACTCTTTGTGCAAGGAGAAACCCTGGACATCGAGGGTGAAGGGCTCCTGAGAAACGAAGCAAGTGGTCGGTGTGTGTTCAAGGCTTTGGATTCAGGGGGGAAGCATTTAATTCGAGTTTATGCATATGGCATACGCTTGAGGCAGGCAAGGGCGTGAAGCAAGTAGGGATGGGGTGCAGGGTTAGGATCTGGTGATCGCAGTGGCTCAGCTAGTGATTGCTGGGGTTTAGGGCTTAGGGCTTCGGGTTCGGGGAGTAGGTTTTGTAAGCTTCAGGGAGTGGACCCGGAGCTTCCAACCGAAACCCACCAACAGAGGTATTCGACATGGTCGATATCGTTACACCAGGGCTGCGGAATATGTTCAAGCATGTTCTTAGTATACTTGGAGACAATGAGGGGATAGGATTGCTAGTTATTCTTCCATCGTCGCTGCACCATGTCTCTTAGGCGGTCAGTGGCGCCGGGAAACGAAAAGTGACGACGCACCTCTGCCCTGACCCTGATCGCGAAGCTACGGTTTAGGGTTTAGGGTTTAGGGTTTTCCGGTCTATGCACCTACAGGACTTTCATAGTCGGTACTTTGGCCTTGCACCGGGTGCCTTTGTATAATATATAGGCACTTTCAAACCAAAGTAAACATGGGCTCTTAGGGTTGCTACTTGTCTCAAATATAGGGACCTGCACAATATCAATATTGTCATATGAATGATATATTGCGGACCAACAAGGGCTACTGTTCGTAACAAGGGCTACTGTTCGTATTGTTTCGACAAAAAGTGCTTAATCTCGGTCTTGGAAGATGCGGAGGCCTGCGTCATGAATACGTGTAACTTCCGGAACGTTTATGCCTGTCTCTTCAACGACCAACGCCTGGGCTTAGGATTTAGGGCTGATGGGTTCAGGTTTCAATCAGTTCACCTCAAGACCTCTGTGGTCATTCCGCACACATGAGAGAACTAGACTGGTTCAATGGCAAAGGCTGGCTTCTGTACGAGGAACGACTGTAGAAACAAAATGCAGAAGACATGCCTTTAAGCTGAGCACAGAACAGAAGCAGCCCTTTGGAGAGGCCAATGCAGCAATGCAGCCCTAGAAAAAACGTAATAAAGGAATCGGGTTGTGGGTTGATGGGGTTTTGGGTTGATGGTGCATCCCCCCACATACTATGGCCTAAGACATATTCCGGAAGTCTGCAAGGCCCCAAAGCCGCAAAACCCTAAACCCCCAACCCCTGAATCCTACTGCTCCTCGAGCCGGGCATTTCGCACGATGGCCTGGGGCTTTGAGCTTTATTCTTTTAGCCCGCTGAATAATACCCGGTGTCACGGGCCCTAATTATAATGTTCGGATATAAAAATAGGAGGGTGTTTGTCAACCAGGTTTTATATTACTGCTTAGGGTTTCGGTTCAGGTTCAAGCTTTACTTGTCATCAATGCTAACGTGAGGATGTATAAGGGGATGTAGGGTTCATCTAGCAACTACTTTTCGGGCTCAACAAGTATGCACAACAACTAAGAAGGCTCCACCTACTACTGTGCATTGTAGGGTACTGGGGACTTAAAAGGCAATATGTTTCTTGACTTAAGGGCTAGGGATGTAAGATCGTGCTCTGTGGATTTCTTAAGGTTAACGGCCTCTTGCTGGGTCAAGGCTTTTGCACACAAGGACACCCCTTTAAGTACCACTTTAGTCACCACCTTTTTTGGCGCTCAAGCTGGCCTATAACTGCATACTTGGAGAAAGGCTTTGGGTTTTAAGGGGGTTCAGCCACTAAAATTTTTAAGGCCGGGACCTTTGGGACTTTGCAATTCAAGGTGTACCGTTTGGGGGGTCAGGGCTGATGGGCGTAGGATCTTACTGCTCTGGGTCGTGGCAAGGCGTGTCAGCAAAACTCGGGTGTCTAGAACCCTCTGGCCTCAGGGCTCTCTACATTTTAACTAGTATCGTTGAAACTTTGTGGTGCCTCAGCAATAATTTAATACTCCCCCAACCCGAACCAGAAAAACAGCGCCTCTACAAATGTCGAAAAAGGTAAACCTCTCACCCTTCGCAGCTTGTCACCCACTTGACTTTCACCTGACACCTCAGGTTGAAGGTGACAGCCATAAGCACAACTTACATTGCCATACTATTGGCAGTCTGTAAACAACACCAAGCCCCCGAAACCCTAAACCCAAATCCCAAGACCCTCTACAATGAACCCTAAACCCCAAACCTTTACCTTTAAAGCCCCAAACTCTACAAGCCAAGTTTTGGGGTTCCGAGGCCTCGGTGGCCGTCCAATCGGCCCCATAGATCCTCGCTGTTTCGCACCCTAGTTTTTTTGGTGTAGGGTTGAGGGTAGGGTGAGATTTTGGGTTTTTTGGTTAAGTTACGGTTAAGTTTAGGATTCACGGTTTATGGCCCCTGCACCATAACTTATACTTCTTGTAAGCTCCCCTGTCCCACGGTCTAATGCATAGGGTTCTAAAGGGCCTTGCAAGACAAATCAGGCAAATCTATTGAAAGTAAAGCCTTAACTAAGCCCCCCAAGCCCAAGCCCTAAGCATTTGCTTTTGATGTTTTCCATTGTAGCTGCACCTGCAAACTCAGGAACCGCTTAAACTTCCCGGCAGCATCATCGGTCTCGGGCGTGGTCAGCACTCTGATGAAAACACTCGTGAGTTTCAATGACCTCAGGGGGACGACAGCCACAATCGATCCGAACGTATCTCGCGCGTTGTAATTGGCTCCGACACTCTCGGCTCGGACCTTACATGCTCGAGCAAAAAAACTCAAAACAAGACACACTACCGAATCACCACGGTGATCACACTGCCGGAACAGGACCGAATCACTACGGTGATCAAAGCCATTGAGAACTGCGCCAATTAACAGAACAACACTACACTATCTTCAGAAAGTCTGGCTGTTGATGCTCTCGCACCTTCCCGTCCTGTGCCTGTTTCCTTGAGCAAGACTGCAGGTAGGCCAGGCCAGATGCTCTAGCACAGCACGTGCAATTTGTGGCAGCAACCGCTGACCAAAAAGTGGAGCAAGGCTGCGAAACGGAGTCCGCAGATCGGACGCCAAACCAAGCCTTAGCAGGGCATTGATTACAAGGCACACACCTCAAAACCTCCGGCTGGGCTTTAAGAGCCTTGGACGCTCATTGCCGGCAGAACCGGACTGCTCCTGACGCAAGCGCTCCAAAAAGGCACACAGCTACACCTTTGTACATCACACAACCAGCACGCCTAAATCAACAACATTACACAAAGGTGTCGTACACGAGCCGATCCTGCTGAAGTGCAGGGCACAGCTGCTGCGGTTGCACACGTAGAGCAACGATGCGCGCCAAACTGGGCAGATTTCATGACCTCGGACTCCAACGTCTCTAGCAACCTCAGCATTCCTACTACAGGACTATAGTAGCTACAGCAGACGCATCAAAAGGGAAAGCAGCTCATCCCACAGTTCTGAGCAGGAACTACCACAGAAGCATCCGCAAGTGTTGTCACCGAGGCCGGCAGGACACCCGCAAAGGAATTCAGGAGCACCTTGTTGTTTGTTCCAATCCGATTGGAAAACTGAGCTGGGCCAACGATCGCAACATTTCTAGACCACTGTCGGCACAAGCCTCCCATGCCCTCTGAATGAGCGGACCGTGCCAGAATCTCAATCTGCATCCGCAACTTGTCCCTCAGGTGAAATCGCCGGCAAAAACTGTGTGCGACATTGCTCGAATGGCAGGAGTCGCGCTTTTGAACTGGTGCGGTTCCCTGGCAATGCTTCACGATTTGGGCCTTGGCAGGTGGATCTCTCTGATCTGTTATTCTTTACCAGGCCTGCGAAAGCCATGTCCTTGCCTCTGAACACCTTCATGCACACCCAGAACACAGGCGTAAATCAGCAGCTTCTTTGCGAACTTTATCGACCTGCCGGGCTGGTGGTAGCCTCGGTGGGGCTGTGCACCTTGCGCAACTTGCGAGAATCCCACCCAAAGGAAGTCTAATTTTAGCGCTTGCTCAGGCATACGTCGCCTGAACTAACATCCCTTTTCGCCCTTGCAACTTAGTCTGACCACCTGACACTAGTGACGAATCGGACACTCGACCAGCCCCCAACCCGTCAACCAGAACAGTGGCCAATAAAACCCAGAACCTTGTTGGGTACATGGTGTTTGTGGCCGAAATTGAAACTGATGCTAAGGACCACTCTGCGCCGCGAATAAGTGCTGATCAGAACTCGGATATTTGTATGGCCTCTTTTTGAAATTGAACGCAGGTTGCGGCTGTAGGGGATGGTGGAATGGGCACGCTAAGAGCTGTGCTTGCAACATCTCCAGCCGCAGACACACACACACACACCCAAGCACCCACACACACACACACACAATCTGAAACCCAAACCATATAACTGCGAGCTGTAGATGTATCCAACGAGATGCACGTTGTATAAAGAGGCGAAATCGTGGAAAATAGCAGGGTTTTGGGCATGCCTGCAAAATCGCATAAACACTTGTGACAGCGCCTCGTGTTGCTGAACATCAAACATCCTCCTGCAACATGATGCATAAAGATGCAAAAGTGCTGCAAATAGCAGGCTTTGGGCACGTTCGCTAATGCCATGAACACTTGTGACCGCGTCTCGTGTTGCTGAACTTCAAACATCCTCCTGCACATGTTGTATGAACAGACGAAAACGCCGCCAATAGTGGGCCAATCGGTGGGTTTTAGGTTGGTTTGAGTAACATGGTCGTAACCACCCCCTCCCCCCCACCCCCCCGTTGCCCCTCCAACCTCCTTTGCCTTGAAAGAGAAATCACCGAAAGATAGCAGAGAGTCCTGGGAAAAGCCCATGGCCAGATATGCGCGTGTGTGGGGTTAGGGGCTACAGGGAGTCTGTGGGCTTCTGGGCTTACGGCTTCTCGAAACTGAAAACCCCTCAGCCCCTAACCCAAAGGAAACTAATACGAGCTTCTCTGCCAAGGGTCGGACCCCTCTCTCTCTCTCTCTCTCTCTCTCTCTCGCTCTCTCTCTCTCTCTCTCGCTCTCTCTCTCTCTCTATATATATATATATACACAAAAAAATGTGTTTATAAACATACATACATACATGCATACATACATACATACTTATATATATATATATACATACGCATATTTATTTACTTTGTGTACATAGTACAGGGGCCTTAATCATTACAATAGAGTTTCGGCGAGTGTTAACCATGTTTACATTAAGGCTTGGGGATGCGCGTAATACCAAACATAGATTAGTCTGGAAACTCTCACAGTCAAGGTGTCCCACTCTAGCAGGAAAGGGCTGGCTAGGAGTGCAACGACAATAGTAAGCGCAATCCAAATGAAGAGACAAGGCTCCAAGCGAAAAGTTTAGGTATCCCCAGATTGCAAACATCGAGCCCATCATGCTGAACAAAACTTCAAGAAACGTTCCCACACTCAGGTTTGGGTGGTTCTGCCACGTGTCTTATCGTCGCTGCCGCGCAGGTCGCGATTGGTGTAGAGCTTACCGTTGCGGACCTCGCAGAGACATCCAAGTTTGACAGAAGAAGCTCGGGCAAGGATTTAAGGAATGCGAAAGGGCGAAGCCTTCACCCGGAACAACCTTGGGATGCCTCACCCTAAAACTGAACCCTAGACTGTCTAGACCTAGACCTCAAACCCTAGGCCATACTGCAAGACCAAGAAAGCCCAACTGTGCCAGCCGCGGCTAGCTGCGATGACGAGGTCCAACCCCGAGCCGATCCGAATGCCTGACACCCTCGTGGACTCCAACCCCAGGGGCTCAGGGTTTTGGGTGCTACTTAATAGTATGGGTTTAAGGGTTTGGGGGTTAGGGTTTAGGGTTTGGGGTATATACTTCGGCCTTGGAGAAGTCCCTATATAGATACTTTGGGGACAAAGCATATACAATACTTGCGTAAGTGGACCCTGGAGGCAATTTTCCAACCCCAGAAGCCCAGCGAAGCGTAATAGTAGGCTGGGTTCCAGAAGCATTCTACACGGTGTATATACGGTTCACGAACCAGAAACCCCATGATATCGGCAACTGGTCTCCTATAGGGCATGAAGCCGCCACCTTCACAAGCTTAGCCCATAAGCTTCAAGAGCTCTCTTCGCACATAAACCCTAAACCCTAAACCCTAAACCCTAAACCCTAAACCCTGCAGGCTCTCAAACCACCAGCCAGAAAGCCCGAGACCCTATACCGTTTACCACGAAGCGAGAAAACCGCAAGGCTTTGGCTCAGCTCTAGCGATAGGCCCCATAGTAATTCCTTTTTGGGATTACCTTGTAGGATTCTAAATATGAACCCCCAAAAGGAACTACTATGGGGCCTATGAGTAGCGATAACACTAAGTATCCAAGGTAACTTTGTTAAGGCAGATGAGTCTCAACATCATCCGCAAACCCTGCGTTACCTTGATCACGCCGCAAACCCAAGCCCTGAACTCAAAGACGCTTCGCCCGCAACCACGAACTCACTCTACCTTTCTATAAGGAATTCTACAAAGCACTCATTGTAAGAAACCCACAAGAAGAAGGTTTTGCGGGTGTTACAGGTATCGTAGCCTTCAAAGTCTCGCTGAGGGGACTCTTAACCCTTAACCCTAAACCTTAAGCCCCGCACCCCTAAACCCTGCTTCAAAACCCTAAAACTCAAATCCTAAAACCCTAAACCCTAAACCCTAAACCCTAAACCCTAAACCCTAAATCCTAAACCCTCAACCCCGAACTCCTGTTATACGATTTGTCCCCGTTTGCCTACTGAGAACCAGGGGGTTAAGGAATGCTATCTGGGCACATTGCGCCTTAAGGAATGGCTTATAGGGACTGCTATAGGACCATAAGGCTCTATAAAGGACTACTAGGGATCCATTCCCCTATTACCTTGAACTTCTCAGAACCGGAGACTCAACGAAGCTACAAACCTTCAATTCATGGGGGAAGTCGGTTTAGAATTCCTTACTATGCTTTTGTATTTGAGGTGCAGGGTTTGGGGCAATCATTACTATAACTTTAGGTATCCTCCTCAACTCAGGGTTGGGTCTGTATGAGGCCTTCAACCTTGATTTCCGAGCCCCCAGCGAGGGTCCGCGAGATAAACGGGCTCTGATAGTTGAAGATACCATGCACGGACATCACCTTGGGAATGCTCTAAGAGGGGCTAGCGCTGCGGATGCCAGCGGATAGGGTCGCTCTGCACAATAGTTTCAAAGGGTCTATATCTATATCTATATCTCTATGTACCTATAGATAAATAAATAAATAAATATATATATATATATATATATCGATATACAGATATCTACGTATCTGTATATCCGATTATGCAGGTTTTGGACTGCCTGAAACTCTCATGTTAGGCTCGGGGTCTGAGGCAGCTGATCTTGTGGAACAAAGCCGGCCAAGACGCCAGGCTTACGAATAGTATAGGTGCCTCAAAAATTAGGACGGGGTTCATTCAACAAAAGGGATCGAAAAGTCAAAAGTCTAGCTCGCAGGGATGCGATAATGGTGCAACGCAGGTGCCGTAATACTTAAAACAGAGAGTTCTGTGCCTTCTTACACTCAAACTGCAGTATGTAACCCTGAGGAATCGTATGGGTAGTTATTCGGACTGCTATACCTTGAGCGCAATAAGGATCGCATAGTCTGATTTTCAGTTTGGTTTGTCCTTGGAGGGCTTGCGGCTTGGGGTCTCACGTTCAGGGCGCAGTTGTTTTTTGTCTGTGGGCGTTTTCAATCAGCATAATCAGCCAGGTGCATCTATATGGAACGAAACTCTCCCTGAAGATAGATGTTCTATCTGGTAAGGAAGTATGTAACCCTCAACCCTAAACCCTCAACCCCAAACCCTAAACCTCAACCCTAAACCCTAAACCCTAAACCCTAAACCCTAAAGCACCAACCCCCTGAGCTTGCGACCCAGGCGAACAGGTGTTCACAGACGCCCGAACGAAGCGGAATCGCAGCTGAT